AGTCGATGTCTGGACAGTCCTAAGACACAGACTCACAAAAGCACAGTGTGAAGAAGTCATCAGTGTGGAGAAAAGAAACAATCCCTTTCCAACAACCAGCATTTGATATATGTGTAACACCCCACATTGCAATTGGCTTTACCAAAATGCTACAGCTAACCAGTCAAGAAAGACAACACAAAACACTTGTCATCTATTGCCGTACTACAAAGAGACCTTGGAACAAAGGTCAAAATAAAACACACTGCTTCAACATTAGCAAATGGCGAGCCAACTTATACAAGGCATATCGGGATGAACTCCCGACCTTCAAAGCACCTGTCAAGGTAACCCCAACAGAAAGCACCAAACCTGCTGGATACACATCCCTGCTTGCATGGAACTCACAAGGCTTCAACCAAAAGTCATCTATACTAGAATCTCTGGCAGAACCAGTCACAGCAGGCATCATTGTAGTTGGTGAACACCGACGCACAGAAATGCGATATGAACCCAAAATCAAAGGCTACAGAACCTTCTCACACCCAGCAGAACCCCATTTTTACGGATTATGTATGATGGTCCGCAACGATATTGGCGCATACAAAAAGCCAATGGATGATCCAAGAATACAACATTTGGTAGTAACCCACCTGGAGCCTGACAGCATCTGGCATATATTTGGAGTCTACCTACAATCTGGCTCTAACAATAGAAAACAAAGAAGAACCCAAATCAAACCCATCTGGGAGAGAGTCAACAAACTGTTGGATGACAACCCCGACTGTAAAATTGCCATTGGTGGAGACTTTAACATGACCACCAAAAGCCTTGCGCAGGCTGCTCTCCAAAACACAGGGGGGCATATGACCATCAAGGAATGTAGTGGTTCCAACCTAACTAGACTTCAAACCAGAGGTCGTCCAAGTGACATTGACCATTGGGTGATTTCACCTGCCCTACAAGACCTTACATGTAAGGCAAAAGTCAATAGACACATGTCCATCCAATACAAAGGCGCAAGCGACCATGCAGCCATCAGCATGAAGATACGCAAACAATATATCAAACCAACTCCACTTCAAATGAAATGGGATCTCAAAGCCTTGAAAGGGCACGCAACTGACATCTTGACAGATGAAGCATGGAAATCATTCCCCATGGACGACAACCATGATATCAATACACGCCGTGAAGCCTGGCGGTCAAACCTGGTGGAGGCTGCAACAAAATGGGGGGCCATCAAATATTTCAACCCCTCCCGGCCCACACACTTTCCACGTACTGTGGCAAACCTCATTAAAAAAGCCAGGAGAACACGCACTGACTATCAACAAGCCATCAACAAAGGGGCTGACCTCAATGAACTAACCAAAAGATCCAACTATGCGGATAAAGTAGCAAGACTTGCCAAAAAGGCTATCAAGAAATTTGAGACTGCGAAAGAAACCCAAAAAGCAGCCCGCACCAATAAACATCTTGTGGAAAATGAAATGTTAGACTTTCATGCAGCCATAAAAGCATCTCTGCCAGACCACCTTGGCAAAAGACAAAGCCATCCCATGCCTTGCAAAGACAAAGATGGGAACCTATGTATCACAAACAAAGATATTGCAAAAGCAGAGTTTGAACACTTTAGCAAACTTGCCCACGACTCCACCGGGGTCTCCCATGACCCAGATGTCTGGAGAGACCTCACTTGCGATGATGAACCCATCAAAGAACACATGTTGGATGGCATGATAACACCACAAGAGCTCCTGCGAGCATGCAGTAGAGTGAACAAAAACGCAGCACGCGGGCACGACAACTTGCCTCCCATGATCTTCAAGGAGATACTCCGACTTGAAAGAGCCCAATTCCACAGTGCAAAACCACCCAAAGAAGACAAAAACAAAAAGAAAAAGAAGAGACCTAAACTCTCCATCCTACAATGGGAAACTCCTGAAAACCAAAAGGATGAGTCACTTGTCAGAATTGTTGAAGAAAACATTGACAATGCCTGGGAATGGGCCAAGCAAAACCTTACACTACCAGTCAAGACCCGACCAGACCCACATCGCCCTATCATCCAAACAGGGTTAGGACAATTCTACGATCCCCTGGATCATGTCTATCAACCAGTCCCCATTCACCACATGGACCAAGAACTCAAAACTGCAGCAGGAAGACAACTCTTGCAAATACTCAATGAAATGATAGTTGGGAGCATTCCCACTATAGATCTGGAAAATATTGTCATATCCCTAAACAAACCTGGAAAGGATCCCACAGACTTGACCAACAGACGTGGAATTACACTGTCTACCGCTTTCATGAAACTAATCATGACCATCTTAGAAGAGCGCATCAGCTCTGCTCTCAACGAACATGAATTCTTTACCCCGGACCAAGGAGGTTTTAGACGTGAAGAAGAAGGGATAGCACAATTCCTCTGCCTAACAGAAGCCGTCCGGCGACGAGCAAACAACAACAAACCCACATATGTCTTATATATTGACTTCAAAAAGGCATTCCCAAGTGTGCCTCATGAAGCACTCTACAAAAAGCTCCTCCATCTTGGGGTACCTCCTATGGCCATTGACTTTATAGATAACACATACACAAACAGTAATTTCCGCATGAAAGTTGGGAATGAACTTTCAGAACCCTACCAAATGAGCATCGGCACCAAAGAAGGCTGTCCACTCTCCCCACTTCTATTCATCATATTTGTGAATGATCTTTTCCATCACTTGAAAGGTATCACAATACCTGGAATCAACAAGAAAGGCCACTTCTATGACAAGGGCAAACTATACGCAGACGACGCTGCCACCTTCTTTGACAATATTGATGACCTCAACAAAGGATCATAACACTAAAGGCACAACCCAGTTTCTCGGCAAAACTGGATTAAAACCCTAAGCCCTTAACAAGCTGTACACCTAAGACTCTGACCCCCTTAAGAAATCTCAGCAGTACTTTTACTAAACGGTCAACTTCTTTAATTCACCCTCAGACTTTTGACTTCACTTCCATCTTCATTCTCATTCAAATACCATCAAAACTCAAACCAATCAGATTCAAACTGACACCAAGCCAGGAACTCTTTCAACCATCATGATGAGCTTACCTCCAAATGGGTAAGCTTCTATTATTGTTTTCTTCTTCAGAAAACCATCAAAATACTTACCTTTTATTGATTCTTGACCTTTTGATCACGTCCAGTCTTCTTCCCAAGACTTATGGTGTCACTGGTCCAATCTCTATAAATGGTCCTACTTGTCCTGAAGGATTTTCTACAACTGTACTTATGGATGAACTTAAAGCGCGCTGTACATTTGAATCTCCAGAAGACGCAAGGGCACGGTAAAGTTCAATTCTATTCTTTTCCATCTTGAACTACATTAAGACTTTCATCTCAATCACTAAATGTCGATCATCCTTTGAAAAGCTGGTGCCTTTCTTTTCAGTGAATTTGTCTTAGGTAGACTTAATCTGCTTGTCAAAGAATTTGTGATTAAAGTTTCACCCGCTCTTGGAATGTCAGATCACGTAGCACGTGAAACTGGCGGCAATATCTTTACTTTTGGTCAGTTCAAACCAAAACCGTATATAATGAGTTGATCAGAAATCAAATTATTAAAACTCTCAGTGTTTTCCAATTCACAAGTGAAACTATGCGACTGTTTACTGCAACTTATCCTGATAAAGGTCCTTATTTCCGATCTGGAGGATACCTCGAAAGCTTCCACAAAGGATCATCAAACTATAAGTTCGATGCGGCTGGGAAAAAATTAATGATGATTTGGTCATTGAATGAAAAAATCAAGGCAGGATATGTACGTCGATCGTACCTCCTGCTGTTGTCAAGAAATCTGCCAAAAATTGCTAACATTTTGTTCTCCGTCATGCGAATGGCTCTTTTCAGCTCCAAAGAACATATCCGATCAACATATGACTTTGACCTTGTCATTGATTATGACTTATCACAGTCTGTCCTCCCGAAGGTCATTTGCAGATGATCTAGGACCAATGCAACATTTCACAACTTGATTTAAATCAAGCTTTTTAGAAATCTGTTAAGGAACACGTTGTTGATATGACTTTTGGATTGGCTAATTAAGGATGATTAAATTATCCAGAGGCAACAAAGGTAAAATTTAACAATCAGATTACATTTAAAACTCCAATTGAAAGCTTATTTTTTTACTTGTGAATGGGCTGTGAAAAAATAGATGTTGGAAGTAGCGATTTAAATTTTACAATCGAATTGCATGTGGAGTTGTGCAAATTCAAGTAAAATGATGAATGGAGTTTTAGGAAGTGAAGAAGAAGTGGAAACAAGAAAAAAAGAAGTCAAACTGAAAGGATTGGTTGATAAAGTCTTAATATTGAGATATTGGTTTTTGGATTTGATGACAGAATTTGCTATTGATCCCAATTGCATTGCTTGTGATCATATTAAAACAGCAGTTGATTTTTTGATTTTCATATTCTCTTATGTCTTGATTCAGGATTAATTTATAGTTTTCCCCTTACTGATCTCGGTGATTCTTATTCAAAGGCTTTTATTCATATGTCAGATATTTATTTAGTTACTTATAGTACTTTAATGCCAGATCAATTGAGGATTGATTGTGATCACCAAACTCAATTTTTTGGGCTGGATATCTCACAGCTGAGATTGAAAGGTTTGGGAATAAAATGGAAGAGAAAGAATATGAAAGACAAAGGCTGAGGATTGGTTTAGAAGGAGAAGATGACAAAGAGGAAGATGAAGGGGAAGTTGATGTGAGTGGGGAAAAAGTTGAAGGTAAAGAAAACAAAAAGAAATTGTCTCAATCAGCTTGTCAGAGAATGTGTAAGTGATACCTTTTTGGAAATCAATTTTTCAAAACATTAAAACTGTTTTTTTCATATAGATTGAACCACAAGTAAAGAAATAAAAAATCACAAAAAAATTGAATTATTAATCATGACTTTTACAAAATCAATATGTTGTGGTATAATTGAATTTAAACATCCAAATTTAATTTTATCAAACTTCAATCAATTTGGTGATGTATTTGATTTCAGTATTGAAATTTCAATTGGATCTTTGGAAGAATTTTGTTTTGAAAATGAAATATAAATTCAGTTTGAAAGGCAAAAAGACAAGTTGGCAAAAACTGTGTCAGAAAGTTTCAAAGAGGTTAGTTTTTTGATTTTTTTGACTTTCTTTGAAATTTGTTTCTCTTTTTTGATTCTCTTTATCAAAACAACAGAAATTTAGTATGGAGTTTGCTATGATACTTTTTTTTAAAAATCATTTGGTTTATTTTTAAATGAAGAAATCTATCCAGAAGATCAATTTTTAAAGGTTTCAACATTATTGTGTTCTACCATGGTTATTAAGGGGGCAAGATTAAGTTTTAAGTCAATTTCAATTTCAAAATCTTATATATTTTTACATCAAGAATTAATCGAATGGCTTTTCCCAAGAATGATTCAATTTCAAGAAAAAGATGAGAATACATTAGATAAGTTTGGAATTTTTTTAGAGGTTTGGTTTCACTTATCATTGATATGGATAGTAGAGCTGCATTAAAGATGTAAGTCTTTTGTTGGTTTGGTTTTGGGTTCCATTTTATGATTGAACTGATGGTTTTTTTCTTTGAATAGTAAATCTTTGATTGATCTTTCTCTTGGAAAGAATGGAATTGAAATTCCGGAAAATTCTAGATCCTGTGATCCTTATTGTACTTATATTAAACAATTGATTTAAAATATGGCTGGGGATCCAAGTGAGTACACTACCACTGACCTGTCATGAATTCTGATTTTACATTTGAGAATGATTCTGATATGTACATGTTGAATTTTATTAGTTATTAAATGTGTGGCAAAGCTTACTTTGAATTGGAAAGCGGATACAAATGGAGATGAGGGCATTGAAGAAGCTGATGAGTGTGTTGGAGTTGATGATGGGACTATGGATTTTGGACCTGGCGCAGAGCAAGAATGAGGCAGAGCAGGAGCAGGAGAGAGATTACAATTGGAAATTCAAGATGCGTCTGAAGAAGGCTTGAATGATCATCAAGACACATATAACAAGAAGAGTTCCAGACCTTCAGCAATTGCTAAAGGAAAAGCAAGGCAATTTCTGATAATATTCCTTCAGATGAAGAAGAGGAAGAGGAAGAATCTACACCAATCAAAAATGGAAATCCAAGTAAAAGGTTGGCGGCAGCTAAGAAACTCATAAGTCAAAGTAAACAACAAGCAGTGAAAAGATCAAAAGTAGCTACTAAGAAATCTACGATTATTAAAAAATGAAGAACAAATGACATTTTAGAAAGTGGACTGCAAATGGAATCACCACAAATCAAGATCATCCACATTCAACAAAAAGAAGAAGTAAAAGTAGTCAACTTGAATGTGTTTTAATTCCAAATAATTTACCTACTACTTCGATTAATCCTTCATCTTCTAAACAAAATCAATTAAATCATAGATCTTTACTTATTTCTGTTATGATATCTAATTTTAAGAAGGAATAGAAGTAATCAGAATGATGAAGAAAAAGAAGAAGAAGGAAATGAAACTGGTGAAGGTGGAATTGAAGAAAGTGAAGGTAGTAAAAAACAAAAGGTTGGATAAAAGGAAAAGCAAAAGAAGTTCAAAGTAGTGGTCATCAAGAAGAGGGAGAAGAAGAAGAAGAAGATAATAGATCTGAAATCGATTTAGCTGAAGTTGAATGTAGAGCTTGTAGAGCCGTAATGAATAAAAAGAGGAAAACAAATTGGGTTCATGGTTTTGGGCATTGGGTATTTTTTAAACTTATTTTTCTTTGTATTGTTATTTATGTTTTGATTAGGAAATTACAAAAGATTATCTTGGTTTTTGGTTTGTAAGAGCACCACCACTGGACCAACCAAACAGCAAAATACAGCTACTCTACAAACACTGTGGGAAAAGATCCAAGGCACCGGACCCAGTAAACTGCCTGTATGGTTTGCTCACCAAGTAAAAATTTGACAGGACCCCATAGGAATAGTCAATCAACTATAATGAAAATCAGCTGAAAAATATTACACCATCCCACCTCTCACCTCTACATTGGGGCACTGTCTGACGTCTTGCCTCTCTGATCAAATCAATCAATCCATTCCCCCAATCAATATCACCACCTCTTGTACAAATTGGGTGTTTAATTATTTAACATTCATTGTTTTACACAGCCCTGACTTTCTCATTTTGTTACAAATTGGTGAGAGCTGGCTATACACCTTCTTTCCTGTCAACTCTGTGTCATACAGGGTGCTTATTTACTAGGTCCCGGTGGTGGGGGTGCTCTAAACTTTATTGGTGTTTCATGATGTGTTGGAAAAATTAGTAGCTTATTGTTATATAAAGTATATATATTTAAAGTATGTATTGATACATATAGATTTTCTGTTTTTTGTGTGTTTCATTTTTTTACAAAAGGAAAAATAGAATGTGATTGCATATAGTTTTTATTGGAAAAATATTGGTATGCTTAGTTTTTTGATTGAGCTAACAAAAAAAGAAGTGATGGTATGATTATAGATTTGCATTTTGGATGAAGGTATGATATGATTAAAGGGATTTCAGATCCCTTGATCAAACCAAACAACAGCTTATATCAGTCAATGAACAGGATAAGAGATTGATCTGGAGAATAGAGATGATATGAGATGTTGTGAGAAAAACTTTCTAAATAGTTGAATGAAAGAGAAAGAAAGTTTTTCTTAGACCAGATGGATTGATAAAGTAAGATTAGCAATACATCACGTGTTTAGGTTTAGACATGTACAAGAAGTAGTGAGTAATGAGACATATACAAATTACATTATATGTATTCAAATATGTATTGTTCTAAATAAAACAGAAATAAAACATTAATCATCTGCACAAATGTAGTTTGTTCCAACAATGATATGATATGATATGCTTCTTTCTAAAAAGAATTTGATGAGAAAGACCTTGATTCTTCCAATCTCACAACTTTATGGGAGTGCAAGTCCAAGTTTATCTGAACCAATTCTTATTCAACAAGCTACACTCTCCCATTTCCTCCACGGTTTTTTAGATCTTGGAATTGAAAGGTTTGTTTGAATTTAGTTTTTGAGGCAAATCTTATGTAGCCCCTGGAGTTGAACAAGTAGGACTCATTCCAAGGCAACATCCAGAGCCGCGCCTCAGAATATTGCGTACATCCAAAAGGCAATTTCAGGTAGCATTCAATTTCAAACTCAATGAGCTGTAAGATAAACTCTTTCCATCAGATGAACCATCAACTGAGGTTCATCATGCGTTGGGTTTGGGCAAGTGATTCATGGAGAAAAATGTGCCTGGCAACTAGATTTTACTCGGACTGATTAGTTTGGAGGCTGCTTTGATATACCTTTCTCAGCATCTTGGGTCATCTTGGGTAGAATAATGTTCACAGCCTTAGATAGTCACAACTTTGTACGGCTCAAGTGAGATTTCAGGTGAGGAATCAAATGTGAAGCAATTTCTTTATGATGCCACAATTATCACGCAAGGCGGCACGACACCCCCTCAGACCTACTCCAATTGAAATATGTATATAATTATTCTTCTTTCAACCTTGTTGTACC